TCTCATGCCAAGAGTAGAAACTTTACATAGGGTCACTTAACTATTAGAATTACTAGGTCCCGATCTGTGACCTTTACACTTTGGATTCGCCCGGTTCTTTGATTAACAATACATATATATATAAATATATCCCGAAATCACTGAAGTGCTGGCTAAACACTAGTATACGAGACTGACATAAAATGATTGCATCTTTCTTTCCTCGGTGGGAGTTGAGTGTGCTTGCAGGACCCATTTGAATTATTATTGCTGAGATCCCTTTGCTACTGACCACTAGAGGCCACTAATTAAACGTGCGTAGGGTACTGTGTACTTGAGATCGAAAGGTTATTACAGGGTATTTTGCACTAATGAAGAAGAGAGAGAAATGCATCTATATAAACCATTAAACAATTTGTGATGACACGTGTGGCATAAACTAGTGTGCATTTACTATATAAAAAGCACTATTCTTGTTCAATAGATGTAAATCGGCAGACAACTAAATATCTCTATAAGCCTATAAGCCTATAAAATGTGAGCGTTGACTAAAACGACATTATATTCTTGCGCTAAGTATTCCTAACAACTTGGAAATTATGAGGAAAAATAAGCCCAGATAATTCTAAAACTACCTATAGAAGACTAGACGCTGATCCTGAAAAGAGGTCTATAAAGTAACTTTTATTTCCTCGGCAATCTGTACTCGGTTTGACACGGGGTTATAATAGACAAATGTATGACGGTTTATTTTAGGGTGGTCTTCCTATAAAACCAATGGGCTGTGGTATTGATAGAGGGCTCTAAAATCAACGTAAGGTGCGAAAAATGGACATTTTAGCCTTGTTGTAAATATTTGATTGGTAATTACGTAAATTTACACGCCACTTAAATCCCAATAATCAATGAATCAACCAACAATATAACTTTTAATAAGATAATTGATTTTGATGATAAAGAAACAAGCAATCATTTCATAATCATAATTGAAACAATGTCTACTTTTCTGTACTCTCGCGGCAAATTTACTATATTGTTGGTCTTTGGGCGATCATATTTCTCTATATATTGCACTAGGAATAAGACCATTTAAAATGCAGCATAACGGTAATTATTGGTTTCACAAGTGTGACTTTATATGAGAAATATGAATATATATCTTGACAGAAATGGAAAACTTGGCTCTTATACATGTTAACATTCAACGCAAGGGTTAAAACAGGTTTTGTGCATGTAGTTTTTCAAAGAACTTCTTTGAACTATACAGTGGATAACTATTCAATGAAACCATGAACGACATCAATACGTGTCTCCTCTATTCAAATAGGACGACCACCTTGAAATAAACCGTCATACATTTGTTTATCATAACCCAGTGTCAAATTGAGTATAGATTGCCGAGGAAATAAGAAAAAAATCAGGCCCTGTAGCGTCAAGCGTACTATCCAGTACATCGATAAATGATTTTTTCAGTAATTAAGAAACTTGTGCAGTGATAAAGGGGGAGATGAGATACGCAATGCCCCCAAAATGCAAGTTTTAGGTATCTCATTGGAATTAAACCGCAAAATCACGATAGAAGAAATAAAAGATCCATTAAATCGTTTAAGTATACTGGTAATTAAAGTGATGGGCATTACGTCATTCTAAATGCGTATTTTATAGAATTTTCGGAAATTCTAATGGCATTTCTACGTGCCATATTCAATTCACTGTTTGGCAAAGGTTATTTCCCTAAGACATTATAGGGTAATAATCCTAATCAGTTGTATGTGTAAGCTATTTCCATCTAAATAAAATGATATAATGAGTGATGCTCAATTTGGTGCCTGTCCCAACCATAGTACCACAGATGCAATGTTCGCAATAAATGCTATTGTTAGGCAAAATTATTGTTAGGCAAGAGGTGGATTCAAATATTACTACAACCTTCATCATGACAACACACTTGCTCACAGTTCTCGTCTGATGAGTGATTTGCGGCAGAAACGCAATGTTTTGTATATGGAAGAGCCATTTTAAAGCCCTGATAGCAACCCTATTGAACACCTGTGGTGTGAAATTGAGGACCAAGCCCCTAATAATCTGAAACAAACCCACAAAGTTTTTTTCTGGACAAATGGGATAATTTTCCACAAAACAGATTTGTTGCCCTTTGTTGAAGGCATGTCGCGCCGCCTACAGGAGATGATTGCAGCACACGGTAGCCACACATGCTATTAGACGCGTGACTTTTTGNAGGAACAGAATATTTGTCGGGTTATTGTTTTAAACGGAGAAAAAAAGACATCAAATGTATTCAAAATAAAGAGTTTTATTTATTATTAAACAGTGAAACTAACAAAACTAACAGTACATTTGTCTTTATAACGTTCAAGTACTCTTTCTATCCTTTAATCATCATTCCATTTGCTAAACTGAGTAGATACGAAAAAATCAAAAATTGGTTATAATTAAGTTATTTTATCTTTAAACAGTATTACTCTGACTCAAAACTAAAAGGATTATTGTATCCTATTTCTCTACTCTGAAAAGACAGGAAAATGTCAAACGTTGGCAGAAAAAAACAGCTAAGTTTATTATCAAATAGTGAAACTATTGTATCTATAACTTTCAACTAGTCTCACTCCGTTTCTCTCACAATTCTAATTCCTATTTCTCTACTCTGAAAAGATGGGAAAATGTCAAACGTGGGCAGAAAAAACAGCTAAGTATATTATCAAACAGTGAAACTATTGTATCTATAACTTTCAACTAGTCTCACTCCATTTCTCTCGCGATTCTAATTCCTATTTCACTACTCTGAAAAGACAGGAAAATGTTAAACGTTGGCAGAATAAATCTCTCAAAACTAACTTCTAACTACCCTCCGTAATACTATTATCTTAATAAAAAATTATCAATATTAATCACAGTCATCTGATTCACAGTTTGAACTATGATGTCCATCCAACAATATCATATCGGGGTCTTGGCGAGAGCAGGCTGTAAAACTGACGAAGTGCCTTAACCACGTGAGAAACAACTCCGAGTCTGTCCATCCACTTTGAGACCATTCCCATAGATATTTAGATCGATCTATCCCCCTAGGGAGTCTCACTAGATTGCTGTCAGCTAACCGGCTTAAATGTCTGTCCCGCCTACCAAAAGCTGTAAGGGGGTAATTAACTTTTGTGCGCGCTCGGCTCTCGGAAGCTGACAGCAATTTAGCGTGAACCCCCAGGGAGTTAGGTCGATCCATATGGATCGATCGCTCTAAATCTGTGGGAACCCAGTCTTTGACCCCATTCCTATAGATATTTGACCCCATTCCCATAGATATTTAGATCGATCGATCTATCCCCTGTGGGAGTCTCACTAGATTGGTGTCAGCTTAACCGGCTTAAATGTCTGTCCCGCCTACCAAAAGCTGTAATGGGGTTATTAACTGCCATGCGCGCTCGGCTGACAGCAATTTAGCGTGAACCCCCAGGGAGTTAGGTCGATCCGGATAGATCGATCTAAATTTTTGGGAATGCAGTCTTTGACTCACATATCCTGCAGCTTCTGATGGTGCGTCTTTCATGAGCGTTTCGACCATTCTTTTTCTTGGAAAGATATATATTGGTGGCAAAAAGTTTCCTTTCGCGCTGAAGGCACAGATCAGGATCACCAAAACTCCCCGCTCAGCACTTGTGACTTAACTGATTTGTCGTATTCCCTTTGCCGCCATAATCTTACCAGGTTTTTGGACAGTGGTAAGTCCGGTCTCTTCTATATTCCAAATTCCGGAAGGCGCGTAGTGATGGGCGTCGAGACATGCCTATGGTGGGCGTTTTGCCCCATGCCCGACTGGCAAGAGTACACNATTGATACATACAGAGCTAATGAAACTCTTCTCTCAAGAGTACACTTAACTTTACAGAATTGGGAAAGAACCCTGCGATCCTGAGTCGGCGGTTAAACAGCGATGCAATGAAATTGTTTTTCGTGAGTTACACGCCAAAAAGTGGGAACCGGTTATAGCTAATTTAATTAGTCTCATTTAATATTCACGTGACCGGGTCATTACGTCATCAATGGAAATCTCCACTATTTACGCTTAGTCCCTAGGCCGAATCTGAATGGGGAAACGAAACTACAGTACACGCTAGCTGTGGTTTCGCTGTCGTGTGTGTCTGAGGGAAACGAAACAGGATTGGGTCATAACATCTGTGATTACACGCTCAGATGACAGGATTTCCTTACACATTGTTGTTTTATGAAAAGCAGAGTGTATTTCAGGTATTTAAATCCTGAAATTGAACGATTTGTTTTGTTCACGTGTAATGGAGATAATACTTTGTACTGAAGTTGAAAACAGAAACGACAGTAATGCACAACAAACCGTTTTTTTCACGCATCAAAATTTGCGAAGAAGAACTTTCTCTAGCGTGTGTACAGTAGATGATCCCTGAGATGACCAAAAAACTTGACAATATTATTCTGAGAGCTTTTTTTACCATAATGCACAGGTTCAAAGCAGACTGGTATGTCTGTGTCCCAGATTTAAGTGCTGTTTTCAGCTAAGAATTAAAAAGTTTAAAATACACACTAATGTTTGGAAACACGCAATTGTTTGTTATAATAAGACAAATCCATCTTTTTTCACGAAAAAGCCCCCCCCCCATTGTAATCCAACACATAATAATTTTTTGACAGACTGTCAAAGATGATAACCCATTGTTGTTTTAATTTTAATTTTTACCCCCCAACAGACAGTTGCTTGTTTATCTGAATTCAGAGAGGATGACAGTTTTGATAAATGACACAAAAAGAGAAAAATAAGCATTCTAAACGTTAGTACGCCAGTTTTGCAATTTCCTGTGGTAAGAATACCAACATGAGATTAATATGAAGTCAAAATCTATAATGCAACGCTTGCAATATTTAATTGCTTTTTATTAATAATTTTTTTGCATTTCCAGATAATGAGAACGCTGAGGCCTATTAAGGCAGTGTGACGTGCGCAAAACACTCCCCTTTTCAATAAAAGGCTCAGACAGAGAAGTCCTCATTAGATGGAGATAAAACAGCGTAACTGTGACCAGGGAATTAAATCGTCTACGATATAATTCCCTGCTGTGACTGACTCCAGATTAAACCAAGACAGAATAACACCAACTGCCTAATCGTTAGGCTGCTATTTATTACGCTTCTGTGTGGATCGATGCACGCTCTCATAGGAAAGTCGACAAGCTGAAGCATCACAGGCGTTGATGCTTATTCTTGTGACTCGTGTTTTTATCATGAGAACATTATATACTTTGCGCTTAATGCAGTAGCAACAGCTTGAATGTACAACCATGGAAAATAGTTCAGCTCTTTCCACCAACAATACCAGACTTTTATCAACGCCATTTGAAGTGGGTTTTCTAAATTATTCTAGTCAGCTAAACGAAACTTGTTCAAAATTAGACAACGCTACAACACCAGAGAACCCACTTTATGTTTTGATATACGTTTCGATATTCTATAGCGTGATATTTTTGTGTGGAGTAGCAGGCAACGGACTGGTCCTTTTTGTACTCTGGCGTAACAAAGATATGAGGAACTCGACCAACTTGCTTCTTGCTAACCTCAGTATTGCCGACTTGTTTGTCCTTCTGGTGTGTATGCCGACAGCTATAGCCGAGTTTTACTGCAAAGAAGTATGGTATCTTGGAGAGGCCATGTGTAAGTAAAAACCCAAACATCAATACAAGATGGTATGGATTTTTTTATTTTTATCAAACCATGCAAAAATTTCGATTTGCGATAAATTCATCGTGCATTATATCTTACCTTTGCTTTAGTTCGTCACACCTGAATGTTTTTACTTCTGCCAAAAAGGTTGGTTTTGGTGTTTCCCGTTTGTCTGTCTATCCGTTAGTACATGTAACCTTCAGTAAAACTTTGCCGACAGATTTTGATGAAATTTACAGAAACTGTAAGAAAGTTTGCAATTAACGAAGGATTCGATTTTGGTAGTTATCCTTTTGATCAATTAATTAGTTTTAACTAATTAATAAAATTAAAAAGATGTACACTCTCTGATTGCTTTTCTAATTTTACTATATAATTTGACCTCAAACTCTGTGTATCATATATCTAACGACAAGAATGCGTGAAGAAATATCTAAGAATACAATTTCGAAAGTTGCAGCTTTATGCAACATTGTCAATTATGCGACAGTTAGTACAAAATCATTGTCATAGCTTAAAACGTTCAGTTCTTAGAATAATGTATGAAACATAACACTAAAGGTTTCCTAAACGATCCACAGGCTGATTTTCATGTGAAAACCCTTCATAAACCAAGACATGATAATTTTTTTTTTTTTTTTTTTTTTTTTTTGTGAAATTAAATCAGTATTTGGTATGTATGCCTTATTTGTTTGATTAGAAAGAGGGGCGTTTCTTCCACTACGTACTGTAAATGCATTGCTATAGCTTTGTCCGTTAAGAAGCACTAAGATTAAATCCCTTTGCTGGAAACCAACGATAACAAACCTATTTTGCACTGATGAGAAAGAGAAAAATGTCTCTATCTAGGCCATAATCTGTCTTGACACGTGTTGCATTAACATGAGTTTCAGTTATCATCCCCACATATCGTCCAATGAGTTTCGCTGATTCTACATCTCTTTTTATAACAATTATTATCCCCTGCTAAATTTGTGTCATTTAACATTTAACACGGTTCTCAATCTATTCTAGATCATTTGGTATATTTTTTACAGTTCTATGTTGTTCTGTAATCAATATAACAGTTCAAGAACTGTTTTTGTTAAGTCGTTCAGAATGTCCTAGAACAGATTAAGAACATTTTTCATGAAAAACATTATGTTCTAGGACAGATTTAGAATCGCAAGTGAGCGTTAAATGAGACAAATTTTTGCAAGGGGTGGAAATAGGAGGCTCCCATCTCATGCCAAGAGTAGAAACTTTACATAGGGTCACTTAACTATTTGAAATACTAGGTCCCGATCTGTGACCTTTACACTTTGGATTCGCCCGGTTCTTTGATTAACAATATATATATATAAATATATCCTGAAATCACCGAAGTGCTGACTAAACACTAGTATACGAGACTGACATAAAATGATTGCATCTTTCTTTCCTCGGTGGGAGTTGAGTGTGCTTGCAGGACCCATTTGAATTATTATTGCTGAGATCCCTTTGCTACTGATACCCCCTTTACACTGGACGGCGTCCTTTCTGCGTCCTCTCTGCGACCATGAAATTTGGCATCGCTGTGGTCTTAATAAGGAGGCACGAGCATTAATTTTGTATCAGAATGAATGCTCAATGATCGGCCAGTTGTCGGCACGTAAAATATTATAATTTTTTAACTCTCAAATGGGGCCGGACTGCTGGACGCAGAAAGGACGCCGTCCAGTGTAAAGGGGGCTTGACCACTAGAGGCCACTAATTAAACGTGCTTAGGGTACTGTGTACTTGAGATCGAAAGGTTATTACAGGGTATTTTGCACTAATGAAGAAGAGAGAGAAATGCCTCTATATAAACCATTAAACAATTTGTGATGACACGTGTGGCATAAAATAGTGTGCATTTACTATATAAAAAAGCACTATTCTTGTTCAATAGATGTAAGTCGGCAGACAACTAAATATCTCTATAAGCCTGTAAGACGGCCTATAAAATGTGAGCGTTGACTAAAACGACATTATATTCTTGCGCTAAGTATTCCTAACAACTTGGAAATTATGAGGAAAAATAAGCCCAGATAATTCTATGAGAGTTTTGCTATACAGAAAACTACCTATAGAAGACTAGACGCTGATCCTGAAAAGAGGTCTATAAAGTAACTTTTATTTCCTCGGCAATCTGTACTCGGTTTGACACGGGGTTATAATAGACAAATGTATGACGATTTATTTTAGGGTGGTCGTCCTATAAAACCAATGGGCTGTGGTATTGATAGAGAGCGCTAAAATCAGCGTAAGGTGCGAAAAATGGACATTTTAGCCTTGTTGTAAATATTTGATTGGTAATTACGTAAATTTACACGCCACTTAAATCCCAATAATCAATGAATCAACCAACAATATTACTTTTAATAAGATAATTTATTTTGATGATAAAGACACAAGCAATCATTTCATAATCATAATTGAAACAATGTCTACTTTTCTGTACTCTCGCGGCAAATTTACTATATTGTTGGTCTTTGGGCGATCATATTTCTCTATATATTGCACTAGGAATAAGACCATTTAAAATGCAGCATAACGGTAATTATTGGTTTCACAAGTGTGACTTTATATGAGAAATATGAATATATATATCTTGACAGAAATGGAAAACTTGGCTCTTATACATGTTAACATTCAACGCAAGGGTTAAAACAGGTTTTGTGCATGTAGTTTTTCAAAGAACTTCTTTGAACTATACAGTGGATAACTATTCAATGAAACCATGAACGACATTAATACGTGTCTCCTCTATTCAAATAGGACGACCACCCCGAAATAAACCGTCATACATTTGTCTATCATAACCCAGTGTCAAATTGAGTATAAATTGCCGAGGAAATAAGAAAAAAATCAGGCCCTGTAGCGTCAAGCGTACTATCCAGTACATCGATAAATGATTTTTTCAGTAATTAAGAAACTTGTGCAGTGATAAAGGGGGAGATGAGATACGCATTGCCCCCAAAATGCAAGTTTTAGGTATCTCATTGGAATTAAACCGCAAAATCACGATAGAAGAAATAAAAGATCCATTAAATCGTTTAAGTATACTGGTAATTAAAGTGATGGGCATTACGTCATTCTAAATGCGTATTTTATAGAATTTTCGGAAATTCTAATGGCATTTCTACGTGCCATATTCAATTCACTGTTTGGCAAAGGTTATTTCCCTAAGATATTATAGGGTAATAATCCTAATCAGTTGTATGTGTAAGCTATTTCCATCTAAATAAAATGATATAATGAGTGATGCTCAATTTGGTGCCTGTCCCATCCATAGTACCACAGATGCAATGTTCGCAATAAATGCTATTGTTAGGCAAAATTATTGTTAGGCAAGAGGTGGATTCAAATATTACTACAACCTTCATCATGACAACACACTTGCTCACAGTTCTCGTCTGATGAGTGATTTGCGGCAGAAACGCAATGTTTTGTATATGGAAGAGCCATTTTAAAGCCCTGATAGCAACCCTATTGAACACCTGTGGTGTGAAATTGAGGACCAAGCCCCTAATAATCTGAAACAAACCCACAAAGTTTTTTTCTGGACGAATGGGATAATTTTCCACAAAACAGATTTGTTGCCCTTTGTTGAAGGCATGTCGCGCCGCCTACAGGAGATGATTGCAGCACACGGTAGCCACACATGCTATTAGACGCGTGACTTTTTACGAGCACATGCTGATGCTAATTGTGTGTAAATTTGTTGACATTTGGTAGTGTTCTTTTAATTTAATATGAATTTTTACCCCTTCGGAAATAAGTGTGGAACATCAATTTCGATGGGATGCATTTTCTGAATTTAAATAAATGGTAGAATAATTGGTAAAACTCTTTGTTGAAGGAATGTCGCGCCGCCTACAGAAGATAATTGCAGTAAGCGGTAGCCACACACGATATTAGACGCGTGACCTTTGCGAGCACATGCTGATGCTAATTGTGTTTAAATTTGTTGACATTTGGTGGTGTTCTTTTAATTTAATAGGAATCTTTTACACCTTTGGAAATCACTGTGGTACATCAATTTTGATTAAATGCATTCTCTAAATTTGAATAAATGGCAATAAAATGTGTGTATCTTCACCGGCATTGTGTATTTTCTGTACCATGAATCTTGTTAGATATTCTGTCTTCAATAAAAACCACTATTCAAAATGGTGTTCCGTTGTGATGGCATAATTTGTGGGCTGCTCAGAATCATCATGTTACAAGCTTCAATAATCATGCAAGAAAAAACAAACAACATAAAAGAAAAATTGAACATTTATTCATGTTTTAATACATACTGTACATTTAGAAATAAAAATAAACAGAGATTGCTGCAATGGTTACTAGTCCAGATATATATTATTTTATTTATTATTACTTTTTGATAGGATTTCTTCCAAACTACTTGTAATGTCAAAAAGCTGTATGCAGCAGGTCACCTTAGTGATGTGATCGTTAAATTTTCTTCATTCCACATAAATTCCGGTATCTACAAACATTTTGGGTAATATTGGGAGACTCTCTCAGTATTACCCAAAATGTTTGTAGAGTGTGCTGTAGAAATGATGACATGATCGAGATTTGATGCCCTCTTCTCTGACTATTGATCGCCTTTAAAATCGGCCTTTGGAAGTGGCATGTGAAAGATGATCTTCCAAAGAAATAAATTATCCCTTTGAGGTATTTGCATAATGCAACATCGGTCATGAGGCACTTCTACTGCCCAGTGAATATTTTTACATGGGCTATCAGAAAATTGGAAATATTTCTGCCACCCGCAATCCCAGAGGAATATTTCGCGGCCATAAAACCGAATATATGTATTATAAAAGTAAACAAAACCGGAAGTTACTGTGCTTGTTGTTCTGTTCAATAAAAGCACTTTCTCCAACGTTCACGGGATCTGCACGATTTGGTAGGACCCCCCTAATTAGTGTAAATGGTCATTCAAAGCGTCAGGGTTAATAAACCGTGCTTCAAACTGG